CCACAAAGCCAATGCCAAGCTTCTTGTGCGGAGTGCGCACTGTTTGCTTCATCAAGCGCAATTGACTGCAGATGCCCTAAAGCGTACTCCTTAAACCCGGAGCCTTAATCCGTGAACCCTGAGAACAATTCAAACCTGGATACTGCATTGCTAAATCCAAGGCGGGGCAGAAATTGGGTGAGGCGGCCGGGTTGCGGTATTCAGCCAGGATCAGGGACAATTCAGGGTGTTTCTTCCCTGGAATGTATAGGTTGCAAGTTTGAATAAGGGGGGGTTGCCGACATCACAATTCTCCAAACAAGGAGAACACATGTAGATTAGGAGTATAAGGGGGCGAATGATGTTGTTACGCAAGTCTCTCCAGCGCCAGCTTTGAGCACACGAGACTGAGGCCAGAGCAGCAGGTTTGCCTCCCTAGGCTTCGTATGGGGTCCATATTTACATGTGTAATTCATATCCTGCATGCACCTTCATGGGCCCTGAGTTGCCGCCAAGAAGGCTCAGGAGCTACATGGAATCCAAATGTACACCTAAATCTTCAAGCACGGTTTCAGTGGCCATAAAGGGCTAGCATGTGCAGTCACAATTTGAAACTGTGCAAAGAACCCTGAGCTTGGTGGGGACTAGTTTTGGGTTTATGGGGCTATTCACTGAGGGTGATGTAGGGAATGTCTTAAGAGTCAGCTGCAACAATGGCTTTCCCTAAATGAACAGGACACAACCACACCACCCCAAAACTTAATGTTGAGCATGCCCAACATTCTGTCTTGATATCATACGGAAAAGTAAATCGCTTTGGCAGCTGGGACTCTGAACATCTGCAGAAGCGAATCATCACAGCTGCCGGTGTTAATGAACACTGAAAGGTCCTGAAGTCCTGATAATCAGAACTGTATCATGACAAACATGGCTGTGATCAGGCTTCGAAAAGCAATGAGAAAAAGAATGAGGATGGGTAGCCAGCCCCGAGAAGTCTCCGTTTCGACTTGTTGATAGTTGTGGGATTCTGGTTCAACAAAGTTGGCTCAGCTGAAGGTAGTACCCTTAACCCATGACCAAGATCCCTCTAGCCTCGAGACCCTGAGCCGGGACCTGAAACCCCGCATGTTTGCCCAAACCTGCCATGGACCGACACTCTGCGCAACTTTTTGCATCTGCACGGACAAGAGCCTCCTTTGTAGGAACTTCCGGTCGAAGAAGGGCCAGAGCAAGCTCAGAGGTCTCTACTCCCTCCCGGTAAATGTGATACAGGAGACGCACAGAACACCTTGCTCATGGTCTTCCCAAGCTTTGATGTCTTACCCGCCTGAGGCAAAACTGACAAGTCTCTGGCCCCCCTAAGTTTTGGAAGCTCCCTCCTGGAGCCACGAGAGCAAAGTCCAGGGTCTAGAGTAGGTCTTCCCAGCGAGAGCAGTCAAAGAGGCACCTTATGTGCCGCGTGGGTTCCCCCCAACAGCCAGAGATCATAAGGCCCCAACTGTGAATGAAGGCCCTGATCCCAGGCCCCAAACTCTCAACCATAAATCCCCATACCCTGATCTTCTCACCCGTCTCCATGACTCCCTGCAGCTGCATTCAAGGGGGGACCCAAGAATGTGGAACTGTTGAAGGCCTGGCCGCCTAATCTAGGTGGCCTTTGAAGGATTCATGTTTATAGGTGTTGGGGCGTAAAACTCTAAGGATTAAGCAGTTTAGGGTGTAAGGGTTACTCGGATTGAAGGTCCAAGTTTGCGGCGATGAGAGGCTGAAGAATAGGGTTTAGAACATAGCCCAGGGACATAAAAAAAAAGAAGATCAAAGCAGGCTTTCGAGACACAGTTGAGGCAAAGCGTGTTGCATGAAAAGCTGATAGGATTCACGAGCTAAGCTCTAGTATGCTGTGCTATTGAAAAGATGCTGCTCCAGTTCTGCAGGCATCCATGGTAATTACGCCTAAACTGCTAAAACCTTAATCCCTCCACCCTGATCCCGAATCCTAAGCCCCAAAACCCTATGCCCTGTGTTCTTCAGGCTTTCTATGGCATGGCCACCTAGCCATCGAACTAGGCCTTGCGAGGGGCATCAGCCTTGCAGAAGGACAGGGCAGATGCGTAGGCTTCGTGGATCTGCTTCACAGCATCCTGCAAGACCTCAGCTTGTTGGGGCCTAGGGCTTCAGGTTCAGGATTTGATGTTTAGAGCTCGGGGATATATAAGCGTTTAAGGTCTAAGATTCAGGTTCTAGCTTAAGATTTGGGGTGTACATAGTGGCTGGTCCACTCGAGGCTTTGAGGTGTGCATAAATCACATCACCCCCGCACCCAGAACCTACCAACGGCTGGAAGTAGTGTCCCCTGCGTACCCGTCCTGTGAGTGTACATGCAGCACCCTAGTGCTTGGGGCCGTGAACTCTGGATCCCTGATGCGAAAATGGGAGCTCAGATCCTTCTTCTAGGCTCACTGTAACCACGCTAAGGAAAAACTAAGGTGCAAAAAGGAGTAAAGGCCTCACAGCAGAGGACCCTGATTTGATACAAACACCACAAGGAGACCGTTGAGAGGATCAGGGCTTGGTAACCTGTTGAGCAACAAAATGAATGATTTTCTGAAGGAAACATCGGATATCCGGATATGTCCTAGAGTGGACATTCTGTTAATCGTGCAATCCCGAACTCCCAGGCGGCCCCAGACGATCATGGAATTTGAAAAGGGGTCCTTTGTAAAAGACAAGTGCCCGAAACGAGAGCTTTCAATCAGGGTTTAGGGTTCTCCGCGAATATGAGCCAGCCGATAAAACAAGCATTCCAAGCATGATGAGTTCAAAGCTGAAGCAGCTCACAAATTGGCCCTTACTCACCTCTTCCCCACTTCAAAGGTGAAGCGGAACGTGGGAACACAGGAGATAGCAGTCTATTTGAAGGCAGCTAGCACCCAAGCCTCAGCTTGCAGTGACCCTGTTCACACCACCACTCGGCGACACTCCACAACATAAAACCATGCCCTGCGGCGCACACTTAAGCGAAGAGGGTAGATGACCGCACCTAGATTTAAGTCCCAACTGCTACACCCTAAACAACAAATTCTAAAAGCCCTAATCCCCGAGCCCTAAACCCAGCATTTCAAACCCTAAACCTAGCCGTGCAACAGACAGCTTCAAATTGCTATTTCTGTCAAGAACAAACTTGACTCCAGCTTGCAGATCAGGGGGCAAACAAGTCAGGCTGCGGCAGATCAGCAACCTGAACCAAGTGTGAGGTTTGGGGCTGAGGGCTTGGAATCCTGGAGGTTTTCGGGCTTCGGGCTTCCAATTCCATGAGTTCAGGTCCATGTATGTCCGTGTCAGAATATGGCAATCATACCACTATGCCTACCATCGTGGGTATTAATCGCAGCTGCAACGATGAGCACCACAAGTACAGGGAAGAGTCCAAAAGCCTTAGTGGTGAGCTTCAGACTACGGAGCACATGCGGTTTTCTGTTGGGGCTCGTTGGACCCATCATAGAGGTTGAGGGGCCAAAGAATTAGGAGAACCTCCGGGGGCACAAGCGGCAGGCTCTGCTGAATCATGAGCGGTTAAGATGAGGTTCCATGTTTGATTAGGGGTTCCATGTTTCGTTAGGGCAAGTACATGCCAACTCCTGATCGTTCGCGGAGGCTCAGAGAATTCCCGTATGATCCCCATATATCTCTAGGCTCCCAATGGGCTGCCCTGTTTGGAGAAACCCCTAGATGTTCCTATGATACCTGATGCGAGCAAGGGCCATCTCTTGAGACGGAACCGCTGCACCATGAACCTTGTTTATACCCTTAGCCCTGAGCCCTCATGCCTAAACCCTAACGCCTGCAATCCCAAAACCCCAAACACCGAACCCCGTGTCTAAACCCTATTCCATATTTCTACATCCTAATCTCTAACAGAACTTATCCCCACAAGCCTCAGCCCTCGACATCAATCCACTGAACCCGCAATCCACCTGGAAGCGGTGGATCAGGAAGCCGGAGCCATGTAGGGCAAATCCTCGAAAAGTCTCGTACTCGTTCAGCTTAGGGATTTAGGGTTTAGGGAAAGCTTAGGGCTCAAGGATGTAGGATTTGCTTTAGGAGGACGGGGGCGGGGGTCAGGGTTTTATGGTTTGTGGGGATTGAAGGCCTAGGATTTTGGGGCTTCGGGCTGATGAGGTTCGAGGAATCTGAAATTCCGGGTTCTGGATAGTTCTGGGCTTGGGGCTGCTTGGGCGAAGCAGAGCTTCAACCTTCCACACAGAACAGTTTTTATGCCTCCCGTAAATTCCAAAGGGCAAATCCCCTAAAGTCTCCACGACCTCGCTCGTACTATTTCAAAAACTGAACTCCAAAATTGAAATCCTACAGCCCCAAACTCACAACCTGGCATCCTGAACATGTCAGCTCCAAACCCTGAGCTCGAAACACAAAAATGCAGCCCAGGATGCGAATTTGATCAAGCGTTTGCCTCACATGCTGGTTGACAGGGGCCCTCTGTAAGGTTCTCAGAGTTTAGGGCGCAAGGCTGTAAAAAATGCATCGGGATTATGAGAGTGCCTGTCGGGAAGTCTTGAAACCTCAGCAGATCTGCTTGTGTCTCAGTCCAGTTTGGGGTTTCATGGATGAAGTTTTAATGTTTGTGGTTTAGGGTTGCGCTCAAATATTTGGCAAACAAAGCTGGGCGAACTAGGAGCAAGGTCTCAAAAGATTCTTCAGACTTGAAAGATTTGGATGAGTTACTCAGGAACAATGTGTCACGCGCCTCGTGCGAGCAGGCATTTCAGCTAGCGCTAATGAAAACTACTCCCAGAGCTGCACATCCTTCATCCGTAAGGGAGCAGAGGTTTGGGGTCTATCCTTTCAAGTTGAAGATCCATCATTCCCTGCAGAAAGCTAGCGGAGCCAAAGCGCCGCTGCACCCTAAACCCTAAACGATGGAATCACCCAAAACTCAAAGACCAAAACCGCTAAAACCCTTTAGCCCCTAAGCCCAGCACCGCCCAACACCCTAGGCGTAGTCAGCCGCGGCGCGCAGCCAACGGCGACTGGCATCCCTCGGCCGCCATGAGCTTCTCGAAGATGCCGCCGTCGCCTCAAAAGGCGGCTGGGGTGAGGCGGCAAGGCTGAGGGAATTGGTTGGGGTTTCGGGCTACGGGTTGAGTTCTTTGCGTTGAAGGCTTTGGGTTTAAGAAGTTGAGAGCATAGCGTTTGAGTACCCTCCTCTAAATCAACTTCGACTCTTCAAGTGACCCTATGAAGATGACAGGGGGCTACATGGAATTCCAAACATAGCGGAGGTTTGTGGATTCTTTCCTGGCCAGAAGCTAAGTGTGTTTTGGAGTCGGGGCTTAAGGCCAAGGATTTTTGGGCACGATGGGGCTCTGAGCATCCTACTTCTCTTTCATAAGTTCCTACTATATCCTAACCCACCGACAACATAAGTTTTGTAGTCTTCTGGCGATGACCGGGGACTGCCAATGTTGAGAAACTCACTTTGTTGGGATCCTGCATGGACGTAGGGCTGCATGATGTTGGGTGTCAGGGCTTGAAAACGATTTGAACAGCTTAGGTGGGGTCTGGAGGTTTGTGCTTGATGCTTGCTAAGTTTAGGGCTCAGTGTCTAGTGGCTATGGCGTCTGCTTGTAGAATTGGTGTGTTCTCCTTCCCGAACACATGACCAGTCTGCCTGAGTGCTTAGCAGAATGACGAACGGTTCCTACTACACACCAGGCAGCTATTCGAGCGTAACCTGGGTCAGACTCCTCTCAGATCAGCGGATAGGAACACTGAGCTCCAACTGGGCTGCATTGTTTTGCAGCCTGTACTAGCTGCGACTGCATTTCTCAGAAAATGGGTCCCTTGACATACTACTTTGGGTGAACCCTTGACCCTAAAACCTCAAATCCCCCACAAAAACTCATCAAAGGACCCATGGTTTCCTGCTTCAGCTAGCGGTTTCCATGTTCTAGTCCTTTGAACATGTTAGAAAAACCACACCTCGGCGTTAGCTTTGTCGCACATACACTAGCATGATCTACGTTCATACTCCTGCAGAGCTTTGACCCTGCTCCCTAGACCTCAAGCCCAGTAAACACTGGACCCAAAACGTTTTACACGGGACCTGGGACCGGTCTGCAACTCAGCCCCCGACTGATTACAGCCGCCAACTCGCCCATCGAATTGGATGTCTCCCGCCACGCCTCCAAGGCTGAGGGTTCGGACTCAGTTCTTATAGGGGTTAGGTTTGGGTTTGGGGTTGAACGTCTACTTCGTGCTTCGGCCTCAGATAGGTCACATGGAGGCCCGGTTTTCAGGTGCATACTTTGGAGTCCTCCCAATTTGGAGATGACTATGTCGACCACCAAAGTTTGGGGCTGAGAGCCTGTACAAGGCCTCCTAATAAATGGACACCGGGTCTCAGAACTTCGTTCACGAACCCCTGACCAGTGCAAATTACACTAGCACTGCACCCTTATCGAATCCTAGTTGCAGATTCCGTATGAAAATGGAGGGGAGTACTTGAGGGTTCGGAGGTAACTGGTCCCGAAACTAGGCGAAACAAAAGTTAGATCAAAAACGCTTACGACTACCCGTCCAATGAACCTTCGAGTAATACATGCTGAGTCAAGACACATTCCGCAGCTGACTGTGGCTTCGACGCATGGACTTCATACCAGCGGAGTAGGACTGCAGCAAATCCAAGGTGCCTGGACAGTTAGGCCTTTGGTGGTTTAGGGTCGAGGGATTTGGGGTGGGGACTTAGGGTAAGGGCTTAGGGCACAGCAAATCCAACAGTGCTTAGACAAGGCTGGAGCAAACGACGATGCCTTCAGTACACCTGATACCGAAATCATGGCACCCAATCCCCACTTAGCATAGAAGTGCATACATGTGAAGAAGGAGTACCATCTGCACCGCAGTATGTACTAACACCCTGTCATCTGTACACTGAATCCGTTTCATCATCCAACCTTATAAACCCCAAACCCCACGATCCGTAGACGCTCCTAATCCTGAAACCTCAAAAGCGTAATCATTGGCCTAATCCCTATGAGCAGCAGGTAATTCCTATCCTGTGCACCCCTTATATTCTTCAAAGAAAGCTTGATCATTGCACCTAGGCCTTACATACTGAAAACCCTGAACAATAGAGACCTCAGCCAACTAAACCCTAATTACACCCGAAACCCATGCTAAACCCTGAAGACTGGGGCCTAAGCCCTAAATCCTAAACCCTGAATCTTTCTAAACCCTGTTTGACTGCGGGAGGGGGTCAGGAGCAAAGCAATTCATCGCCCCCCGCGCTGCTGTCTACAAGGCACCCAAAAAGCGCACAAGCTGTTGTGGGTATTGGGCTTACTGGATTGGATTTTAATTCTAAAATGGATGGGGCCTGTTTAGGGGTGCAACGCACGGATCCCAGCTTGCCGCTCCAAGTCCCTAGATCCTTAACCCTACCCGCTTCAGCCCTGCACCTACAACCTAACCCCTACAACCTCATGAGTAAGGGTCCCAACCTGCTTTGCACTTGTCATACTTGGTCAGCGCAGAGAAGGATTCCTCCATCTGACTCATCTCCTCAGTCTCCAGGGTGTGAGAAAGATTGATGGGCCACCAGCAAGGATTTCATGTGCGCCCTCCACAGGGGTACCGGACTTCATGTGCCCCAAGTCACCTCTCCAGCCACGTCGAGATAGCGATCCAGCTCATCGCGCATGCGCCACCACAGCTTATCCATGATCACCTACAGTTTGCTTTCTGGTGCTCTTGGTGGAACGAGGAGTGAAGGTACAGGGATGATATGGGGCTTACGTAGGGGTCCATTTCCCCACTCTTGCTTATGCACGAAATTCAAGTTTGGATTCGAGGTTCTGAAGTGTGCAAGCCAGGGTCTACCAATAAAGTCAAAGGATATCCCTTAAATCTTGGCGTCGAAAAACCTAGCGTAGTTGCCCGAATCCTACAGGCCACATGCAGCACGCCCATCGCAAATAGTCACCCTCATGTTTCGATCCAGGATGAGTTTACGGGCTTCTGCATGTCGCTTCACGCTCGCGCTTGATGCTTCCCCTGAACACCTTGGGATCAAACACCGAACAGAGCCATCAGAACCTGATCTCGTTCGTGTAGTGGCTTAAGTTAGGGCGTCTTGAAGACATGCATTTTTAAGTTTGATGCTGGGTGACTTAGTCACGGAGATCGCCCAAAATTTGTAATACGCGTCCGTTGGCATATGGCCCAAGACTTTGTCGCAACTAGCACTTCAAACCAGCTCAAATACCCTAAGCCGCTTCCAAACTTTGCTCTTGAATTTCAAGCCCCGGTCCTGCCCCACAGCAACTGCTACACAAGGCCCGGATGACACTGCAAACTCTATACCCTGAATCTTGTCTTGAACTTTCAGCAGCCAAGATGACCAACGAACTTTCAGCCTTCGACCGCTTCCACGACTTGGCTGCCTTGCAGGAGGTGCTAGGTTAAGCGCGTGGGGTCGGGGTCTAGGGTTTAGTGTGCTAGTTTAGAGTTTAGGCCATGATGGCTCTGGGGGAACATTTCTGTACTATTGGAGGCAGGCCATGCTGGCTCAGAGTTCTTGGGGAGTTCAATTGCCATCATTTTGGGAATACAACTAAGCCCTAAACGCTAAACTGCGTCCCGAGGCCTTCGGGGAGAATTTCCTGAATGAGTCAGCCTCATTGCGATTTAGATCTTTGGATTGCGGGCTTAGAGTTCGGGATGAAGGTTGACAGAAGGGGACCCTGTGTCACAAGCCGTCAAGGATTCTACATGGCACCTGGAACGCCTGAGAACCCGCATTAAAAGCCAGATATACGCGATTCTGACTTGCTTCATTGCTCGAGTCCATGTGTTTTTGGCCTACAAGCACTGTTTGCTATGTGTCCGGAGGGTCCTTGCTCTTCCTAACATAGTTGCAACCCAAGTCTACACAACTCCACGGCGTGCAAAATGGCAAAAAGCATGACCGCAAACCAAGCGTCTCATGCCTTGAGCCCTCCACCCTTGCCTTAATCACTAAGCCCCAGGTCCTATAAACACAACAAGAAGCCTTGAACCCTCGATCCCGAAACCTAGAACCCAGATCGCACCCGCGAGCCCCAAACCCCCCAAAAGATGAACCTGGAACACTCACAGGGCCTTGTGGGCAGCTCGGCTGTGTGCTCGGTACATTCCCAGAACCTGCTGGGCTCAGCAGGGCAAGGCTTGCGTAAGCTTTTGGGGCTTAGGGCTTTCAGGGCTCCTTTCGCGCGTAGGGCTAGGATTGAAGGCTTTAGATGGGGTGTTAACGTTGAAGCGCAGGATTTCGTAGGGCTTAAGAGGTCTACCGCTCTGGCATTGGGGAGGCAATGAAGATGTCGGGTATGGGCTGTGGCGTAAACATGCCAAAGACTGCAAGGGTCCCTGAAGTGGGTTCGGGTTCAGGGTTTTCCTTTGAAACTGCCCCATAGGTTTGTGGGATTAGGACCTGAACATTTTCGAAATGAGCATTTGGGGCTTTGATGTTAAGGTTTTCTGGTTACTCCTCGGGTCGTAATAGGTTGTACTAGTCCTGGCCTCCTAAGGCTCAGAATTTGCGCAAGTTCGCGGAAGCAATGAGTTTTGGGGCTTTGTGACCTCCCTAAACCCTTTACCCGAGGCCTTAACCCTGAATCGGTTAAGGATTTGCGGCTTAGGATGCTCAGCTCAGCGTTGAGCATTCAGGGTATAGCGCTTCAAGCCTGGGATCTTCCTTGAGACCCCACTGTGACTTCACACCAGCTGGATCATTGAGGTACGTGGCTAGGTTTAGAACCTACCCAGCATTGACCCCTGAACCCTGAAACCTTGAAACCTTGAAACCTTGAAACCTTGAACCCACAACAACTCTGAACGTCCTCAATATGGGGCCTTCTGGAAGTTGCGGTGATCAGAAGAGTTAGAATGTGTCGGGGAATACAAGACATAGAAGGCGGACCTTCTGTAGGAAAATACCTAGGCATGTACATACGGGAGTTTCTGAAAAGAGGGTAGGGATGTATGCGCATCACAAGGGATTGTAGAGGTCTCTATGAGGCACTAAATGGCTATTCCCACAATAATCCCTATATAATCCAGCATATATGCCCCTAGCTTCCACGCATAGTCCCTATAAATCACTTAGGGTCCAAGGCTATCCCCATCTTGGGAAACCCTCAATTTGGCTCGGACAGCCTGCGCTTGACGATGCAGCCGCGCCTTGGAAGTCTGCTTGTGCCAAGAAAAAGTGGAGCACAGCTGAGAAGGCGTTGGGTTTAGGGATATAATGCTCTCTCCGACAGTCGGGGGTCCCTTTGACGGATCTCCATGATAAGGATTACAACATGCGCATAAGGGATTAGAATTCAGGGCATGGGGTTTTCATGAGGCTTAGGATGCCAGGTCAGGGATTTAGGCGTGTGTCATAATTTTCAGGATGCTCCGCACAGGAACGCGATTTTATTCAAAAGTTTTCAGGATGCCCCGCACGGAAGCGCAATTTTTGAACGAAAAATTGACGAAGAATCGAGGATGCTCCGTGCGAGACACGCTTTTTCGTCAGCATTCTCAGCATGCTCCGCGCGGGAAGACAATCTTGAACCAAAAATTCAAGGAAATGCTCAGGATGCTCCGCACGGGAGTGCAATTTTGATCGAGCTTTCGAGCATGCCGAGCTCGTGTCGGCGAGCTTCTGAGAAATCCACAGGACCTGCACTGCGAGGTTCTGAAGGTGTGGAAGTCTTGACGCCAGTGTCGTTTGCGAGGTTCATTTTCATTATCCCGAACAACAAACAAAGACCTAATTGCTGGTTTTCTGCGGAAACTCACAAGCTACTGTGGCACTGTAGCCATTCACAAAAAATACCCGGCACCGTAAGGCCCCAAATTCTGATAACCTCCCACCCAACACCCTGAACAGCATTCGTCCCTGTAGGACTTCCGGGACGCTGTAAACCCTCAAAAAATTGTCTGATATTGGTAACCAGGTCTTCGTAAAGCGCCATACCAGCCCAGTCTCCATTTCATGTCCCATCTTCTCTTTCCATTTTCTTCTCCACTATTGGCAAGCATACAAGCTTCTATATACCCTACTCTAAACCCTATACACCCCCTTGAAGGGACCGCTAAGTTTTCCTTGTAGATGACTCCCCTTCAGACCCCTGATGCTCACGCTCTGACCTGGCCTGACTGGGTTGCTGTTGAGGAATTTCAGATAAGTTACCAGAATCAAGACACCATGAATACCAAAAGTCATACCCATGTGATGGCAACTTAAGTTGCCATTTTCAAGACACCGTAGGATACGCTATATAATTATCAGGGGTCACTATATACCCACTTTGTGGCAGCTTCATTTGCGCCTTAACGGTAGCCCAGCAAAGGCTAAGTCTCTGGCTTGGAGTTGCTGCGCCTCGCCGGCAATCTGCCGTCCTTTGTAAAGGTTTCAGGCCCAGGGTTTTGGGTTTTGGGTTTATGATTTATCTAAGGCTTCAGAAGGGCCAAGCAGAGAATGGGAGTGGTCTCAGCACCACTGCTCACAACAACCCGTCAGGGCAGAAAGAACTCCAAGAGAGAATGCAAAGACACTGTCCCTCTGACAGAAGCCTAGGCAACGTTTTATGTGGGCTGGGGGGAAGTGCGCCCTGGCATTCCATACTCTAAATCCAAAGCTTTCAGCCCCAAACCCACAGCTCCCAAATTGCGTTTAAGCCGCATGCGTACCGAATGCTACAACCTGAAAGCGAAATGTTACCTGCGCTGGAATCCTGGCAAGATCAGGCATGTAGCTGTTGACTGGGATGATGGGAATCATGGCACCTCTCCTAAGCCCTCAACCTTGAACCCATATCTAAATCGTGAATTCAGTGTGGCCAAGCTTCCCACCACCTGCGCCTTGGTCAGCCCACCAGCTGACGAACGCATCGTCTGGTAGAGTGCGGACCTCCGAGTGATAAACTCCTTCCACGAATGACAAAGCCCTCACCATCTAAAAAACAAACATCCCGAACGGTGACATACTGGCTAGGTCAATTGTTAACCGGTGAGCCTGTAAGTGGGAAGGGGTTCACGATGCTCATCGACTGGGTCATTGAAGGGGAGTTCAGGTTCTGATGTAGTTTCGTGTAACAGCTATCAGCAGCTAGCAGATTTAGAGAGGTAGGGAGTGTTAGGGTTGTCGCCTATGCCCTCGTGTAGAAATCAGAGACATTTCCCCACAAAACACTGACCCTTCGCAGACTCACAATCATAGCACCTAGAGCTTTTCAGTGCAAAATCTACCTCTTCGAGGTCCCTAGGTCCTTCAAGCTACTTCTGTGCCTGTCCCATTAGATTCCATACCCGCAACGGTCAGCTTTCTGCATCTGCTGCAGCGCGCTCGCCGGTTCTATGCAGGGTCAAGAAGAAGCTTCCCAAAGCATTGATCTCTATCCCTAGACCTTACACCCTAGCTGCTCTCCCTTAAATAGGTTGCACGAGCTATAAATAGAGTTCGTCCGGACATCCGCTGCTGTTATGGGGCAGAGGTTTGCCTGTTGTCTTGTAAAGACACGTTAGGATCCGAGAAAAAAAAACAGACAGACAGACAGATACACCGAGACACAGAAAGACAGACAGAGGGGTAAGGAAAGGAGCAGCCATTCAGCAAAGGAGCATCTCGTTCTGGAACTTCTGCACCTTGCAGCGATGGACTTCCTTGACCCTCAACAGTAAACCCCGGGCTCTAGACCCTACTCAGCAAAACCCTCTCCTACTAGCTAATGTCCCAAATTCCGCAGAAAACACAACAGCAAATGGCACAGGACATTTGAAAGGTTACGCGAGCTGAGCTATGGAAGGGGAGCAGATATGCAAATTTCGTCTGTCCACCAGAAATCCGGTCACCATGCTGTACATGCACCGTTGATGACCAGCTGTAAGCTTTGCAGCCGTAATTCTCATGTTTGCCGCTCGTCTACAATAACCACCCTCTCCAGCCCTAGGACCCAAAATCGACCCAACCCTGAGCCCTAACATCCGCCGAAGCCCTACTCCCCCCCAAACCCTAAATCCTAACATGCCCCAGGTCGCCTGATCACTCCGCATCGTGACGTTGCCATCCACAAGAGGCTGAGCAGTGGCAAGGAACCTGGCACAAGGCGAGGCGAGGGGTCAGACTTCAACTTCTGGGCGGGGACTTTGAAATCCGAGCCTTTCCAGACCTTATTTTGCTGCCTTAGGACCTGATTCTCGTGAGCAACTCCCACCCACAGTTCAAAGTCCAAAGCACTCAAACTCCATACCCTAAAGCCCAGATCTTAAAACACTCCCAACCCTCAACAATGCACCCCAAACCCTCAAGCTTTAGCCCTGACATTCTTTCTGGTGGGTAGTAGGGAAGAAGGGAATAAAATCCTTGCATAACCCCTATACAATATGTGTATATATATATATATATGTATGGGAATCTTATCTTAATATACCTCACGCCATATTCTATCTACTTAGGGAGGACCATTGTCGGATGCCTTGACAAGGCATCCCGAGCCGTCACGCGCGCGATGCCGAAGGAGGAGGTCTCCGCGAAGCCCCTCAGCTTTTGCTTATGGGGGGAAATAGGAAATACATAAATACATGAACTAATTAATGTGTGCATATATATATATAGGCAGAATGCCAAAGAAAATGGAAACTACTATCTTACGCTAGTAAGCTAGCCGGGAACAAGGGTTTTCTATACGGGGATTTTCCTTATTCCCTACTAACTACCAGTAAGCCAGGGGCCTTAAGAAATTCAATGGGTAGGTGGGTCCAGTAATTACACCAAAACTACATTCCAAAAGACATGAAAGCTGTTCGGGCTCCCATACTGGGTTTTTTGGGTTCAGGCTTGAGGTTCTGGCATTTGAGTCTCGGATCAAGGCCTTCACGTGTAACTTGACATGTTCCCTTTCCTCGCCCCACACGACCTGGCATGTGTGAATCAACCCGCCAAAGGCAAATCATGCTGGCGGTTTAAGGCTTAAATTCTAGATTGGGATTACTTCGTGGATTTGGGTTTTTTGTGGACCCCATGCTTGGGTTCGAGGCTGAGGTATCCTGGTTGGGCTGCGAGCTCGAGATAAAGTCGCTAAAGTGCAGGGATTGTCAGGGGTTAGATTGGCATTGTCATGGGTCTGGGGGGTTAGAGGAATTACTGGAAGAGTTTGGAGTTCAGGACTTTTGTGTTGAGGGATTGAAGGAATGGTAGGAGGGAAACTGGGAGTTGAGAAAAAGGAAGGACTGGATGCCTTGGGAAATGGATGATGAAAACGTCCACGCGAATTAGGGTGTGGGATGGTGTGGGGCAGCCCCTCTCAAGTCCCACAGGATCGCTGAATACCATCCCCATGTAATCTGCAAAGAGCTTATAAACACTGCAGATCCACATAAGACGGCCTTTGGCTTACAGGCTTACAGGCCCTCAAGCCAGAAACCCTAAACCTTGAGCAAGCCTCAAAGCTGAAAGCCAAAACTCTAAGCTCCAGTCCTCAAACGTTAAACCAGAATACAAAGCCTCAACCCTAAGCCCTCATCCTCCCCCCAACAAGACAGGAGCCCTATGTGTCCCCTTCAGGCCAACCGTATTCTCTGGGCGTTTATGCAGGGTTCCACTTGTAGTAGTTAGTAACAGAATCTTCACGATTACCTCTAGACAATCCTAGATAAGCTCTGAAAGAGACCCATAATCCCTTGGCAATACATACCAAGGGATGCTTGGGTACTACTTGAGAGGCTCAGGAGGTCCCCTGGAACTCTAAGGAAACCAGAAAGACCCCAGGAAGGCTTTAGGCTGCGGGCTTTAGCTCCCGCAGCATGGAGCCTGTGGCCGTCACTGCATTCTGGTAGAGATCCTGCTTGAAGGATTCTAGATTTGGGGTTCAGGGCTTGGGGTTTATGTACTGTAGGGTTTAGGGCTCAAGGTTTAGGAGATTAGGCTGTGACTTCAGGCATCCCCCTTGTAACCACATGTCTAGCCACCGATGAACCTTCAAGTATGGATACGCTACAAGGAAGGGTTTTGGGCCTCTCTTTTACGGGTAAAGGTGTAGGGCTCTGGGATAAGCTTAGGGCTTGAGATTCAAGGCATTTTGAAGGTTCATGGTCGGGTTTTGGATTAGGGGTATATATAGATCACGTTTAGCTTGACGTGTCTGTCGTAGGTATGCCTTCGTGTACTTGCGATGAGCACAATCGTGCCCAATCACGCCCGAAAGTTTACCGTGGCAACTCTCGGAACCAGTGGTTGCTAAACATAATCATGTCCGCTGATGTCCCCTCAACCTTGAGACCGCTCAGTGAAACTGGCTTACCTAAAAACAGGCTATGAAAACCGAACCTCAAATCCCAAAATCCATACACCCCAAACACCAAGCACTTGACCCTAGACCAAAACCACCATCAAAGCAACCCAGGACACCTTGGAGTAGAAGCCCCACTAGACCAACGCCTGTATGCCCTGAACGCAAATCCCTCAAACCGCAATCCCTACCCCCCTCATACAATAAGTCCTTGTCCCTGAAACCCCGAGAATGTTGGTTTCTCCTCTTCCGGCGGCTGGGTGTTCTTGGCGATGTGGTGAAGATAGATGGTTTGGATCCTGAAGTGTCCGGCATATGGGGCGCAGGGCTTGGGGTTTAGAGTTTGGAGTTTAGCATTCTGGCTTAGGGCTTAGGGTTTGGGGATTAAGCACTGCCACTCAAATAGTCGATTTGACTTCAGGCCATGTCATCACATATCGGACCTATGCAAGTATGAAGCATAATTCATGTAGTAGGGGAACGGGGCTGCTAGACATTGGGACATCCCGAAACTCCCAACGTATAGACAGCCCAGGATCTTGAGGGAGTGGTCGATCTTCTTGTCCAAGTACTCCGTCTCGGTCCTGTGCGTGTGGGTGAAGACTTTCGGGCTTTCCAGCTTGTGTTATTCAAGCACTTCAAGGGTCATCAAAGGAGGACTATGTTCCGTCTCTGCTCTGGTGCCAGGGGTGTGACAGTTTTGGAAGTCGTCATGCTTAGGTACGCAGCATGCAGTCTTTGGAAAGTCCATGATATGTGCTCGCTGTCTCCTATTTCTATCCACTTAACAGTGACAGCAGGTTTGCTTAGGCATGAATTTCGGATCTGTAGGCAGTAGGGTCTGGGGCCACTTCCCCCACACCAACAAGCCCATAACAGAAATGCAATCCAATTTGCAATTGCATGACAAACAGATTGTGGCGTTCGGGATCAGGAAGAAGCTCGCATGATACCCCTGACTTGTCCACGGGTCTTTCGTGAATGTTCTATGTACCACATGTTCCCAGCTGTCTTTCAAGGAGCTGCTAATCCCGCTGATAAGAGAGCAACTGTGGAGTTCATTACTACTTACATACTCCCCAATAGATCCACCTCCCAAAAACCAGAAAATATGTCTCCGGCCTTGTCGCCTCAGTGGACCACTCCACCATCTTCCTCATGTTGTCGTTGGAGATCTTCGTTGCCTCTGTGGCTTAAAAACGTTTGGGTTTGGGCATCAGGGGTTTGGGGCTTTGGGATCCTTTTGGATCAGCCCCCATCACTGGGGAATGAGGGAAAGGATCCCCATAGCAGTCCGAATACAGCCCTAGGCCATCATCCCTATAACCCCTTCCCCGATCGAGTTCCCAAAGATCGTTCTTGCCAAACCTGTCAGGGTGATTCTGGAGGCTCTACAACATGGGAATGTCTCATTACCCTAATTACTAAGCCCTAAGAACCCCCACACCCGGCTGCTCAAACGTCTCTGCCTGCTCGAGGTTCCTCAGAATTGTGCGGTCGCCACGGATCACAGCATCTCGAACGCAGTGGATGTCGCAGAAGAGCCTCATAAAGCCCACCTGGTTTAGGGTTCAGGGGTTAGGGTTCGCGCAGATGATGTGGGGATTAGTGGGATTTAGGGCGGTTAGAGGCTTGCAGAAGCCTACCGAGTCAAGCTAGCTGGATCAGGACGTAGGACTTAGGAGGGCCCCCGGATTTTAGAAAGTCTCTAGGCTGAAGTTTGGGTTAGGGCTCAGGAGAATTGGGGGCCTCAGGCCTCCACGTTGAAAACGCAGCTCTACTTGAAGGGTGGGACCGGGACCGGGCCTTTCCTGAGTTGTGTGATGAAAGAGTCCTCGGCATCCGAAGCTTAGCGTCCTGGAAGGCCTTTCCCAACTACACGCACCTTGCCCTTCCCTGAACTTGAGAAGGTTGAGCCTATATCACTTGCCTTCCACCAAACCGAAAACCCCAAACATGAAAGGACTGGCTCTGCGTTGCCTCAAAGGGATTGCAGGCCGCGTAACCTGGGATGGCTTTGTGCTTTGGAATTTAAAGGAGAAAAATCTGCAACGAGGCGCTACCTGTCTCCACCAATGCCAGCTTCAAGAACGGGGTCAAGATTTCGGCTTTAGTGTCCAAGGTTCAAGGTTCAGGAATTCCGGGCGTGGGTGTCCGGTCAAGGATGCAGGGACGTGCAAGGCGAAGCAGGGTCGGGGCTTAAGGTTGCGGGGACTCTCAGAAAGTCTTCTACTCACTCGGTGTCCAGGAACCTTCCTTGCCGACTTCGTAGTCCAGCTGCGCTTTGGTGATATCGAAAGGCATATCCACAATAGCTCCTGCAGGTTGCGTCTTGTTTGCTGCTTCGGTGGGGTTTCTTCCATCTAAGGACTTGGGGCTTGGAAGACTAGGGTAGAGGATACGACACTTCAAATATTTAGAGAACCCAAACCTTCCACGTAAGGCACAGTTAGCGCACCGGCTGTGGATCCCAAATTTGCATATTGGAACACTGCATGACCCGAGGTACCGTGAGAGCTAAGGTATTTACATACAGGGAGCAATGCGGTCCCGGAACCTAAACTCCAAATCGCATTAACCCCAAACTTGCATCAGGGCGGTTCAACTTTGGGTCAAGGTCTCTTTGTGCCTGTGATCTGCGCGAACCTGCTCAGCTTTAACACAACGCCAGACAAAACAAAGAAAGCCTCTGGTTTTGTCAGAGAGGAATCAACATCCAGAACGTCAAACCCTAAACTCCAAATCCTGACCCTTAACCTTAATCCCAAACTCTGCACAACTAGCCCCCAAACTCCAAACCCCTCGACCTTTACCCCGAAACCCTCAGCACACAATCCTCACCAGTATTCATACAAGCGGCGCACGAAATCCACGACTTCTCCGCAGATGTTTGGCGGCTCAGACTGGCACAGAGGCCGCACTGTATGCATGTAGGCTAGCAAAAATGGCAATGGTAATAGCAATAGGGTTTAGGGTTTAGGGTAGTAATGATCATTGTAAGAATGATGGCAGTTCCCTCCTATGGCTCAGAAGCTTCAGATTTAGAACGTTTAGCTTCAGGCACTGAGATTTCACGCTTCCAGGTGCAAACTGTTGATCAACAGGCAAAGTGCTAGTCCCGGCAGAGCAAATCAATGTGCTGGTAGGAGCTAGGTCACGTTCGAGTTCAGGGTTTGGGGAATACATCTTAAGTGGCAGCACGCTGTGATTAAAGCATCGTTCAGCCCAGCCAGTCAACAGGCCCTCATGCTGCAAGCTGACTCGGAAATCCTAATGAGTCATCTTGTGGCTGTTTGAGTCATCTCCGGGAATCCTCGTAAACGCTTGGTACTTATATAGGCCCTGCCAGGATACAGAAGAGGCTGAATGTTTGACCGGATGATACGGAATCTGTGGCTCAAATTGCTTGGCAATCCATCATCTTGCTCAGCTTAGAAACGCATGTATCACATCTATGCTTGCGCTCATGAGCACGAAGCAAGTAAGTACAGTTTCCACCCGGGAGCTGATAACGTTTTTGCTGCCGACACTCAACGAAAAACAACAAGCTACAAGCCCCCAACACTGGCCTCTTTCTGAAGCGATTCCGCGACAATTCTGGTTCCAGTTCTGCTGGCAAGCCAACGTTGTGTTGACTCCAGTGCTAAGCAGGTACGGTACGAATCGGCATGAAACAAGACTGCTCTCGTTGACAATATTTATGACAGACTGTAGGAGATTACCTAATGATAATTGAATTCTCCTACCCATGTAGAGCATTGATGAACTGGACTTGCCACCCAAAGCCTTTGGTAGCGTGTGCAGCAGAAGCTGCAAATCCCGTGCAACAGGCTCAACAGGTGGGTGGTTTTCAATTTAGGGCGCTACCCTAGATATAGAGTTAAAGAATTACAACAGATTCTGGTCCCTGCATGCAGCCAGCAGCATTCTTCATGGGCGCAGCCGCTTTGCCTTCGCACTTAAGACACCTTTGCCATGATGGGTTCAAAATCCTGAGCCCCGAACCTATAAGCCCCAAACCTTTAGACCCCGAACGCTTAGGCTTAGCCACAAAACCATAGATTCTAGTTAGGCTCAAGCCTCAATTCCCAAACCCACGGCCTCGACACCTGCGCCCAAAGGTGCAATCTCTACGTTGGGCACGGCAGCACAGACCAACCTTGTCAAGCGATTTGGGTTCAAGGTACAAGGTGTAGGATTTGAGGACTCAGGCTTTGCGGTCGAGCCAAGGAATTAAGTATGGCCATGGTGCTTGAAGTGCGAAGGGTTGAGGCTTGGCTTGCGGCTTGAGAGCGGGCAGAAAGAGGGCCAACACCGAAGGAGTAAAGACATAGCTGGGTTGCTGACTGGGGAAAACTTCACATAACAAGAATACAGTACATAGGAGGTGCATAGGGTGGCCATCCTAAACCCTAAGCCAGATGGAGATGACAGAAAAAAGACACGTTCCAGTCCTTTGCACGGAATCTTTGAGTGATCCTGCTCTGCCTGCTTTGGACAGGAAAGCTCACGCCCTTCTTGAAACGCGTCCCAGACGATGTTGGGCTCTAGTGCTCAGCGCTGAGGCTGAGTGTCCATGCACCCAAATCTACGATCCCAAACCCCAAACACCACACCCAGCGGCCTCTGATGTTCTGCCATCTCTTTTTGCGGGAGAGTTGCATACTCAGGGCATCATTAGTGATAGCTGCCACAAACTGCACACCTTATCCCGGAAACTCCAGACGCCAAACCTGTGACTGGCTTCTACATCCGCAAGGTTTCATCGTATCGAGAAGCTTGACAGCGTTCGTAATAAGGTTGGCAATGCTGTGGTACATACCTCAGCTCACTCAGCTCGTGGGCAGTTACGCTACGACGTTATGGTGAAATCTCTCGTGGCAACCGCCTCCTAAACGCAGAACCCTAAGCCTCATGAAGCTGGTCTGTAGCCTGGTTATGTACGGTGCTGTCCAATTTAGCCTCAACTGGGCAGCTCTCTTCAACCCGAAAAGGACGTGTTGGGTTGTACAGGGCTCTGTCTTCTCGCGCATGAACACATCAATTCGGGCCTGCATATTGCGATGTTCAAGGTGCCTACTTTCAACAACTCCATGTACTTGCAGTCTGGCCAAGGAACATGCACTCCCTTGGGCTGCATGAAGCGTCTTGCAAATCTTGTGTGGGCTATGTACAGTTGTACTTGGTTGCTTTGGCGCGGTTTTGAAGCTTGGAGGTTTTGCTTCTTTTCGAACCTTTTCTCCTGGGAGCTTGGAGTTTAGGTTTTAGGGTTTTGGGTTATGAGCTTCGGATGCTCCACGGCCGCAGGGGATTACTGGGGGTCAAGGCTATGACAGGTCTGCTGCACCAGTATTTCGCACAGCTTTGACCAGATACTGTTGGCGTACTCGACGGTGTCGGAGAGCATGTCTCTCTCAATGTCGCCGACCATGCACTCGTTCCAGTCCTACTTAGGTGCTGCTACAATCATGATCTCTCTGTGGAGGCCTACTTGCGATTATGCAACAGATTTAAGGTGCACTGGAGTGTAGGGTCCTTAGAGAAAGGATCTAGCCGATTTGGGAGGAAAACCGCATACCCTCAACGTAGGGGCCTTTTGTTGCTGTGGCTCTGGGCCCCTAATTGTGACTTCATGCTCTTCGACTGATCTCAATGAAACTGCTTCTGTTTCAGCCTTGATTTCTATCATCATGATACTGGGCATGAGCTCATTCTACTACATCTGTGGCATCCGTGGCTCCCATCAACTCATGTCAAAAAGTACTACTTCGTTGTATGAGCATTCACGACAATCAAGCCATGGACCTGAACCTTTGAACCCAGACCGCTTTCAATCCCGAACCCCTGCATACTGTCCCCAAGAAATGTCCATGCAGGGGGGCTGACAGATTTTAACGGCGGTCTACATCCCAAACCCCGAAACCATCAAACTCTATAAAACCCAAAGCCTAAAACCCCCAAACCTAGACCCTAATCCCTGAACCTCAACCCCCAAACCCTCAGCCCACGTCCTTGTAGAGGGGATTCTCTGGACTGTCCTGGCCGCTCTGCCCAGCCAGCCTTTACAAAGTTCTTTTGTAGCTTCGAAAGATGAAGAGCCCCGGCGGGGAGTTCAGGTAGCATAGGGCTTAGAAGGGTTGAGGGCCTGGGGCATCTTGGAGGCTTAGGGGTCAGGATTTAGGATTTTGAATGATTTGGGTTTTTGAAGGTTGTGGGAGATTTTAGGAGCTCAGGCAGTTGGAGGTTAATGGCTTCGGGGTAGAGGTTTGGCATTCCAGGGATTGAGGCTTGAGGGTGCGACTCAGGACTTACAGATGACATATCCACTAAGAAAACGGCACTCCTCACAGACCCCTGCTCCCAATACTTGCAGGGGGCTCCTAGAGAATTAGGCGGGGGCTCCGGGTGTAAGAACCTAGGACTTAAAGTCTAAGAGCTTCGGTATGCTTCCCTGACCTTTGTCTTACCCTTCTTGCTGGAGCTGGAGGGCTACACTGAAGGCTTCATGTACTGAGTTGAAGTATATCCGCTCCCCAATCCTGAAAGTGTAACGGATGCAGCCATCTTCATCGGCACCAAACATTTTGGAGCTAAATGCTTCAAGCCGTTGGACTCGAGTTGGCAGGGTTGGGGAGGTCCATGGGAGGCACGGAATTCGATTCCGAATCAGTTCGAGGGCAGCGCTAGCATATTTATACTGTGGCTTCGTGTTCATGCGTGGTAACTCCCAACTACTTTCACCCGTCTGACGCAAAGTAGGCGACAAACCCAGGGGCCTGCAGACATATGAGCAACTGGCACAAACATTTGCTTCGGACACAACATCTTGTGTTGACTTCTAGTCATCGTCTACCTTTCTGGTGGGGGGGCTCACAACTTTTGTCGCTTCAAAAGAGGGTTATAGCACCCTGTTTTGACCGCAAGCGATAGAAAGTAGAAGTCATGCCGCATTCGTAAAAAATGGTTCTGTGGAACACCAATAGAAGTATGGTCAGTCAGAAGCCTGGTTTCCTGCACCGCCATGGTCACAAATGCTGATTTCGCAGGCATCCGAAGGGTTGGCTTGCGCGTGGCAAATTTAGAGTGACCAAAACCTACAACTCAAGATCACATCCCTGCCAGTAAGCCCTGACACCTCTTCGTGAACACGAACATCTGTGGCGAAACCCCTCAGCTCCAAAGCTTGCACCCTGCATCCTGCACGATGCATTCGGCACAGAGGAGGTTGACTTGCTGCTGTGAATTTTGAAGGTAATTCGAAGATGGAGCTTCCAAAACTAAACCTCATTCCTCCATCGATTACC